ATAAGCAATATTGTATACGTAAAGAAGAGTACTCACAACAAATACAGATAGTGTGTATGTCCATCCTGGAAGCCTCAGCTTCATCCACATCCCAGGTTCAGGAGTGACAGACAGGGCTTCTCACCAACACACACATAAGGCTGAGCTAGGGGCCACGGCCTGCTCTGCTCTCATAACCTGTTAGATAACTGCTAACTGGTAACTGCTAACTGCATGCACGCACGCACACACACACACAAACACACACACACTCACACTCACACACACACACACTCACACACTGGTTTAGTCTTCTAAGCAAACAGGCAGCAAATGTTCTGTTTGGGCTCCAGAAATGCATTCTTTGTGTCTGACAGCTGTATGGAGATTTGACAGACAGGTGCTTTTGTTCCTCTGGGGCTTTGAGACTGACTCCCCGGGCATCCAGGACAGTGCCTGTATAGAAACAACAAGGGCCACATAGAAGATGCACAAAGCAGCCGGGGTAGGGGATCGGGCAGGGAGCGGAACACCCCTGACCCCTAACACCTACTCCTTTAAAACAGAGGTCAAAGGTTAAGGATGGAAGTAGCATCACTCATGAGCTTGTCTCCTTACTGGCAGAGCAGAGTAGGAGAGGATGAGAGATCACAGGGGAAGCTGGTCTGGGGTTGTAGGCTATAAGGTTGTGGAAGTAGAGCCATACGAGAGAATGAAGGATGTTATCAGAGAAAGGTATATGTTTCATGACACCGATCTTATATTTGAGAATTGTCTATTGTGGGTAGTCTCAATCTAATACAGTAGAACTACACAAATGGTAAAGGTGGGACAGAGGTAAGCACTTTTGAATGGAAACATCTCTACATTATTTATCTCCATCAAAACATCAAAAACTGTGTGTGTGGGGTGGGGGGTTACTATCCTCACAAGGATAGTAAAACAAGGAACTTTCGGACAAGTGGGGACATTTCACCGGTCCCTACAAGGAGGTTTAGGGGTTAAGTTTAGGATTAGGGTTAGAATTAGGGTTAGCAGTTAGGGTTAGGAGTTAGGGTTAGGTTTGGGGTTAAGATTAGGTTAAGGGTTAGGATTAGGGTTAGGGGTTAGGGAAAATAGGATTTTGAACGGGAATCAATTGTTTGGTCCCCACAAGGACAGTAAAACAAACGTCTGTTTGTGTGTGAGTGTGTGTGTGTGTGTGTGTGTGTGTGTGTGTGTGTGTGTGTGTGTGTGTGCGTGCGTGCGTGCGTGCGTGCGTGCGTGCGTGCGTGCGTGCGTGCGTGCGTGCGTAGGTGCGTGCGTGCGTGCGTAGGTGCGTGCGTGCGTGCGTGCGTGCGTGGCTCCAGGGGAAGGCAGGAGGGTGGGAGGCACTAAGGTCTGCTTTAATGCATTTCTATTTGTCATGATGAGCAGAAAGGAAGTGCATGCATGCTAACACACACACAGGTATTCACTCCTCTAAGAAGCCATTAGTGTGAGCTGGCCTTGATTACTTATTTATGGGGCCAACAGAGTGACGTGAGGGAGTGGAGTGAAGAACCACGGACAAAGACCTGCTCCCCCTGACCATACAGCATGGTCCATACAGCACTCACACACACACTCACACAAACACACGCGCACAGACACAAAAACACACGTGCACATACACACACACAAACACACACACACACTCCTTTTCTGCATGGCAAATTGGTTGGAGAAAGGCCTCATAAGTATTTTGGACTAACAGGATATGGATATGATTACTGCTCTGTTCATCTAACCTGACAGTCTACAAGGGTTAACACAGTGTGAGCATCTTACACACACACACACACACACACACACACACACACACACACACACACACACACACACCAAAGAAGAGGCAGCCAAATGCAGGCCATTTGGAAACACCTTTTATTGGTTATCTTTAGCCATGAGGGCTGCAGCCGCCACACCACTCCAAGAGAAACCAAACTAAAAAGCATACAACGTCATCATCATCCTTGCAACATCCACCGTTAAATAAATACTTTTCTCTCATCGCAACCATTAAATAAATATCTGTGACACATCTGAAATATCAGCAACGGAAAAAAAATATGTGTGAAATGTATATTTAATATATATAATATATTCATTTAGATAGATTTCTATATGTCCATATATTCTCCTTAAATTATTTAACAACATACAAGATGCCAATTGTACCAAAGCAATACTTACTAATACAACATGGGAAAGTTTATTGGTTAACTTGTAGCCTGCATACAGCACCAGAGAGGGTTGGTTGTTATTGTGTAGAAATGCATGTACAGTACAGTACCTACACACTGAGCCCTTCCACTCAACACCTGACCACCTGGGAGAGCTCTACATGGGCTGGACTGTGGAGGAGAGGCCATTAACGTGGTCCTTGCACAGTGGCCGTGAAGTGTGTGTGTGTGTGTGTGTGAAATGAATCACAGAGGAGATAGTGAAGTTGAGGTACAAATAAAAGGTGTCGCACATGGTCAGTTAGCTTCTCCTCCGCAGTGAAAAACTTCTAAAACGGTTAGAGGCATTGACCAAGTCTGTGACTCAAGGTAAATGTTCAATATAATAGAAAATAATCATAGTAACATCAATCATAATAAAAAGTGAACAAAACAAGGAATAAAAATACATACACGTATACGATAACAGTCAGTATGTACATACAAAAATATAGCAAAGTAACTTTAACAACTCGGATGAGTGTGTATGTGCATAGGTGAATATACACATGCACACACATACAGTACAAGCACACACAGACATGCTTGACATGGCATGTTACTTTTCACATCCCGGTTTTAGATATCCATGCATAAGACAACCAGACCTCCCAGACTGTCCCTCCATCCCTCCATCCCTCCATCCCTCCACCCCTCCATCCCTCCCCACCTGTTCTTCACCTCCCCATGTTGGTATGTTATGACCTCACTTGCACAGGTTAACATCAGTCTTCCTAACCTCCAGCCCCCTGTCCACAACCTCTTCTGTCCCTTCCTTTCCTCCTTCCTCCACATCCACAGATCTCTCCCACTCTCTCTTTTCCTCCATTTCACCTTCCACACACACCTCCCTCCCTCCCTCCTTCCCCATTAGAAGCTATTATATAGCTAATTGTCTCCTGATCAACTCAGAGGAGGAGGACTGGAACCTATTAGTTCATTGAGTGGATGAGTATGTGACTAGGGGTTGGTGGGAGGGCCTGCCTGGGGTTGATCAAACTGGCCAGTGGAATCTGTCATTGAAGAGGAAAGCCCTGGCAGGGTATATATTGTATGACCTTGCAAAATGCCTAATGTGTTGTGGACGAAGTGGTAAGGGTTGAGGACGGATCTGTAAAGGAGGTCATATTTCTTATCTGACTCCCTGTCCTAACTCCTGTGATGTCCCTCTGTATTGGGACTGTGGGGTAGCTCCATCTCTTTGGTCCCTTTGCACGGTGGACAGCAGCAGTATCAGATGGAGGGAGGAATAGAGGAGAGAGGGGAGGAAAGGATGGGTCAGGGGAGGCTTGGGGAGGGTTACTGAGGGAGGCTGAGGGATGGGTAGACTAGAGGCAGCGGGTAAGGAGGGGTGAGGCGGGGGAGAGGCAGGCGGTGAGGGGTCGGGGGAGGCTGGCGTCAGCCTGCCGTGGAGAGGAAACCTGACCAGACTCTGGGTCCTCTGAAGCAGCTGCGCTAAAAATAAAACAGGAGGCTTCTGCTGACAGCAAACACACACAGGCCCGACACACTGCTGCAGGAAGGGGACATGTGCACCCACACACACACACACATACATACACTGCTGCAGGAAGGGGACATGTGCACCCACACACACACACACACACATATACTGTACATACACAGGCAAGAGCACATACTAACATACACAGACCCGCATACACACTTACACGTAAACATTAGTGTACATACACAAACATGCGTGTGCATGCACACGCATGCGTACACACAGACACACATGCACACACACACTGCCTGGTCATAAGGGAGGCACCCCCAGGTTAGTCTGTTCGTAAGACAGACAGCTGGGGAACGCTACAGATGATCCACCTCTATATCTCACAGTGCTTTCCATATCAAATGTGCTTAATCACTTTAGATTCTCCTGGTACATCATGGTCCCTTTTTGGTGTGTCAAACAGTAATGCATTTTTGCATTTGAGAGTCTTTGTTCCACCACTAGGATAGGGTCTTTGCATCAGCCTCAGACAAAATGTCAGCCATGGATGCTCATTGCCACATCTTGTATGTCCATTCAGTTGGTCGGCTCCAGGATGCCTCTTCAGAGCGGCAGGGAGGGGATGGAAGGAGGCACACCTTGTAAACTCCCTGTAGACCACTCAGTCTCTGTCTCTCGCATGCCTGGAATATACATTTGCCAGAGACTCCTTTTATTAATGACTGTGTTGGGATTTGTTCTAGTAGCTTACTCACTGTACTCAGAGTCACACATGGTCTGCTCTCTCTCTCTGTCTCTCTCTGCCTCACTGAGGAGGAAGTCCAATAAATAATAAACAGGTCAAGTCTAACAGAGCGAACTCCGGTGCATCACACAGCACAGTGAGGTTGGTCTGTTGAGTAACGGTCTGGCCGGCCCGGCGGCCGCCTACAGAGCAGAGCCACAGTATGTCCGTTACGCTGGCCCACAAAGTAAGGGGAAGGTAGAGACAGTATGCCCACACAGTAACAAAGTAAGGTTAAGGTTGGCAGTCAGTTCAGCAAAAAGCACTAGGCGGTTTTCAGGTTTCGTCTCGAGTCTCCACACGTACAGTACAATACAGTTACAATAAAGTACAGTAAAGCTTTTGGTCATTTCTCCTCAGGCAGGAGGAGAAGAAGAAGTATGGAAGGTACGTAAGGTGAAAGGTCACGGTAGGTAGGTCACGGATGGATGGGCGGGGACGATGGCGTTGTCACGGCAACAGTGTTTGTTGTCATGGCAATGTTGTCACTGAGACTGCGTTGTCTAGGCGACAGCTGACTCCCGCTGCAGCCCTGTCATACAGGCTTCTCCAGGGACTTGCTGCAGAAGGGGGTGTGCCCGGGATTGGGGTTGGAGGCGGAGATCTTGCGGCACACAGTGTTGGTGTTGCTGCAGCGGCAGCCAGGGCGGGTGGCTCGGTCGTGGGCCCGCTGGCACAGGGCGAGGCACAGCCTGGCAGGGGGGTAGCAGCAGAGACAGGGCAGGCACAGCGCCAGAAGGCCCATGGTGCCCCAGCGGGCACAGGCATGGGCGGGCGTGCAGGCGCAGGGCCGGTCAGCACAGTTGTCCTCGTCGTCCTGAGCGGAGCAGTGGTAGAACAGGCCCTTAACGCAGCACAGACAGGTGCCGTACTCCACAGCACTCTCAGCAGAGCAAAGGCAGCGCTGCCCACAGGCCCAGCAGGACGGCAGGCTTCGCGGGGTGCAGCACTCCTGACACTTACATCTCCCACAGAGCTCACAGATAAACAGGTGCAATCCCAGGTCCTCTCCCTCCGCCAGGCCTTTACCCAGAGAAGCCTCAGTCTTGAGTTCTCCTTTAGGCTGGGAGCGCACCACCGAGGCCAGGCCAGAGTGGGAGGGCGTCAGGCCCACCAGGAGTCTTTGGTCGGAGGCAGCGCTGGTCCGGGACATGGCTGAACTGGTAGTACTGGAGCGACTAAGATGGGCAAGGTGGGCGTGTTGCTGCTGGCTCTGGCTCCGGGGGAGAGGGGCATGGGACTGGTACGCCTGAGGGTAACCATGAGGGTAACCTTGAGGGGGATATCCGTGGGTGATGGGGTAGCGGTCATCATGGGCGTAGAAGAAGCCGGACTGGGAGGCATGATCCAGGGTTACGGGGCGCTCCACATAGTCATTGTTGGCCCGGATGGAGCGGATCTGGTCCAGGGAGAGGACAGGCACCTGCTGGAGGTCCAGCCCATCCAGGTCCCTTCTGACTGGGGGAGGGCCATGACCCGGGGGAGGGTCCATCCTGGTCCTGGGAGGAGGAGCACCAGGGAGGGGGTCGGGACTGGGGCAGGGGGCTCGCACCTCTCACGGCACATCAGAAAGACCTGGAATAGAAGGAGAGAGACGTTTTAGAACATTGTTACGTTTTATCTCACAACAAATTAAAGAAACATAGACTTCTTTACCCCTAAAAGACACCACATGAACCAGCTCATTACTCTCTATTACCTACTCTTTACCACCCACAACACATCTGGGAAGCTGGAAATCAACATGAGCTACTTTTCACTTTCTAACAACTAATTTGTGCAGTCAGCCTCAATATTTCACCTCCCTTGTTTGGTGATGGACATACAATACAGTGGACCTATACAGCAGCCAGGTAAACCTGGCATGAGCACTGTGAGGGAGTTATATAAACTGGACATAAATAGACCCAATATCCACATCCAAATTATTATCCACACCATTATGACCATTGAGATTCTCCAGTGCTGAGTGTATAACTATTATTAGCCAGCCAGGGCCAAGGGATAAAGCCATTAGCCTGGCCTGTAATTTAGCATCTGTTCTCCTACACAGCTCTCTGGCACACACACACACACACACACACACACACACAGCTGCTGGTTGCTGGAGAAGATTGGCATCGGATCCGCCCGTCTGCCCGTCCGAAGAGGTTGACACACAGACAAACAGCAATGGATTGTGGGAAAACGTTGCACTGGGCTAGTTGCTATGGGTGTCGCTGAGGTCCTAGGTTGTCGTGTTCCTCTCATTTTGTTTCAGCCTTATCCTCCACAAACAGGAACAACGTGGATGTTGGAATGTAGATGGAAAACATTAGTATCCTGGGATTGACATGCAAACATGTTGGCTTGTTTCCTTACAGTGACATACTGTAATAGGGAACATTTCTGCGTTGTGTGGATAATAACGTTTTTTCCTATTCGATTCTAATAATACAGTACATGAGTTTTAGTGAAGATGATGTTGCACCTACAAAAATAGCCCTTGAAATATCTGATATAACCCCTACATCTAACGTCAACAGATTCAGCAGGATCTTCTGTTATGTGTTCAACAGGCTATTATTATCTGTGGAATTCAATACCCTAATATACTGTATCTGGTCCTGGTTTTTAGGGCCTTTTTCTCCTCTCCTCTCCTCCTCTCGTTGCACCCTTGCCAAATGGCCTGAGGGGATAGTTCCCTTCCTTTCTCTGTGAGAGGCCATCCAGCCCTTGCAGAGAGATAAAGAGAGAGAGAGAGAGAGAGAGGAGAGAGAGAGAGAGAGAGAGAGATTAGAGACGAGTAGAGGACGAGAGAGACGAGAGAGAACTGAGATAGAGCGAGAGAGATAGAGAGATAGCTAGATAGAGAATAGAGAGAGGTACGATGCGGAGCATGGGACGTAGTCGTAGTCGCTTCGGTCTCGCTCTCTCTCTCTCTGGTCTCGTCGTCTCTCTATTCTCTTCTCTCTATCTCCGTCCTCTCGCTCTTCTCTGTTCTGCTCTCTCCTCTCCTCTCTCGCGTCTGCTTTCCTCTCTCTCGTCTCTGCATGCTCTGTCTCGCCTCTCTCGCTCTGCTTTGCTTGCTCTTCTCTTCTCGTTTTTCTGCGCTCTGCCTCTCGTTGTCTGACTTTCTCTTCGCTTCTCTCTCTCGCTCCTTCGCTCTGCTCTGCGCTCCGCCATCCTCTGCTCTCACGCGATTCACCCACTACTTCCTATTTCAAGGCCCAAAAAGAAAGAAAACAGGGCAGGAAGAATGGAAAGCAGAAGAGAAACAGGAGCAGATTTAGATGGAGGAGAGAGACAGGAGCATCGGGCAGACGAATGGAGGGATGGATGGAGGGATGGACAGAGGGACAGCAGACGTAGCCAGGAACGGAAATCCATAGTCAGGAACAGCAATTAGAGCTAGCAGTGTCCGCCCCCGGCCGGCAGCCTTCCGGGGAGCTACCGGCAGAATTCCTGGCAGCGAGCAGGCAGGCGGATGCTCTTGCAAAAGGTATGATACCATCCAACCTCACAAACACAGACACACACATACTGTAAAACACACAGATTACACACACACACGTATTGACACACTGAGAAAGACACATTTACAGAGACTGAGACAGATGCACACAAAAGTGCAGAGATACACACACGCACGCATACATCTACACACTCCCACAAACACACACACACACACATTGCCGCCCCAGTCCGCAGCCATAAAGTGAAGATAAGGCGTCCCAGGTCAGAGGCTCAGAATGCATTTTCAAATTAGGCAGAGGAAGGAAGAGGCGTCCTGGAGAGTAATCACATAAAATAGAGCAGCACCCATCCACTACACAGCTATCAGACCATCCACTTCACAGCTATCAGACCATCCTCTACACAGCTATCAGACCATCCACTACACAGCTATCAGACCATCCACTTCACAGCTATCAGACCATCCACTACACAGCTATCAGACCATCCACTACACAGCTATCAGACCATCCACTACACAGCTATCAGACCATCCACTTCACAGCTATCAGACCATCCTCTACACAGCTATCAGACCATCCACTACACAGCTATCAGACCATCCACTACACAGCTATCAGACCATCCACTACACAGCTATCAGAACATCCACTACACAGCTATCAGACCATCCACTACACAGCTATCAGACCATCCACTACAGTGTTATCAGCCATGCTCCACAGCTATCAGACCATGTAATTGTTAAGAGAAGACTGCTGTTCTGCTTTTTCCATGAGCTCATCCTGTAGAGTCGACCAGGGCAGGGCAAGGCAGGGCTCAGGGTATAAATGTGTGGCCAAGCGCTTCACCGTTGAGACAGAGATGGGCTCTCATTTACGGCTTCCACCACCCCAGAACACAAAGCAAAACCATTTCAACTGCTCTTGGTCTCATCACAGATCCCATACACCAGGTCAGAGGATAAAGTGCCGGCTTTTGCTCCAACCCTGCTCTAACTCACCTGACTCTAGGGTTATTCAGGGTCCTGAGGAGCAGCTGGTTAGCGTCAGGTGTATTATAGTATGGCTGGAACCAAACCCTGCAGATGGGTAGCCCTGGAGGAGGAGGGCTGGCAACCCTGTTGTAGCTCTAGCCTGACAAGCCCTGATGACCTAACAGATAATCTGTTCTTGGATACATAACTTCATCTGCTCTGATCACACAGGAGCTGTCTGTCCATTGATTTCAGTGTTGTACTGTATGAATAAACATGCATTTGTTTCTTCATTGCACAATAATCAACATTAATCAACAAAATAACTTAACTCTAGATCTAGAAAGCAAATAGTCCTCAGATATGCTTTCTAATAATGACAGCTGTGCAGAGTGGATACTGTTGACTCATTCAGTGCTAAGTCAACGTTTACATGTTGCATTTGCAGCAGCATTAGAATCACTGGCTTTTCTGTCCCCCCACTCAAGGGGTCGGAAGCCCTGTCTGTCCTTGTGGGAGCTGTTGCCTTGGTAACCATGTTGGGGAAGTCAATTCCCACTACCCAGAATCCTCCCCTCTCCCCCTCCACCTACCCACGGGTTTCCACCCCACCCTAACACCTAGCCACCAGCTGCTCCTGCCCCACTCCTATCCCCCATCCACATCTCCAGTGTATAGGGCTGTGCATAAGGCTGGGGCTAGGGCTGGGGTACAGGGCTGAGGCTGGGGTACAGGGCTGAGGCTGGGGTACAGGGCTGAGGCTGGGGTACAGGGCTGAGGCTGGGGTACAGGGCTGAGGCTGGGGTACAGGGCTGGGGCTGGGGTACAGGGCTGAGGCTGGGGTACAGGGCTGGGGCTGGGGTACAGGGCTGAGGCTGGGGTACAGGGCTGGGGCTGGGGTACAGGGCTGGGAGATAGGGCACATGTTGTCAGCACATGGTGAGAAAGCATAGATACAGTAGCATAAGGAAAGGTACATGTTTGCTGGTCCTTGGTGTAGCCCAGATCTGTTTCTTCAATACAGTGTCCAGCCAAGACATGGCTCCTCTCCTCTCCTCTGCTCTCCTCTCCTCTCCTTGGCTGTTCTGAGTTATTCCTCCCTGCTGTATCTGCCTGGCTCTGGGACGTCTGTTTTATGTGTCTGCTCCTGCTTTTATCCTCTGTGTTAGATGCAAACCCAGCAGGACCCATTGCTCACTCCAGCATCATTCCCTCATATCAACAGCTTTTCCACTCCTTCCTCTCACTCACTCTGTTGTTCTGTGTGCCCCTAACACACCTTTTAGGGCCTCAGATGAAGAAAAAATATAGGAGAAGGAAATCAAGACCTGAGCGCTTTTCAGGTCTGGGCAGGAGGCACATCGATACAGGGGCCGTGAAATACACAGATAGAGAGAGAGGGGTGAGAGAATGAGAGAGAGAGAGACAAATGAGAGTAACAAAGACAAAGGGATTGAAAGAGTTTAGAGAAAGAATGAGAGGACTGGAGAGAGGGTAGAGTGAAGGAGAGAGCAAGGCAACAGTGAGAGAGAGAAGGTAAGAGAGGGGGAGAGGACAAATGGGAGAAAGAAATAGTGAGTAAGAAAGCAAGTGAGAGAGAGAGAGAGAGAAAGGTGGAGAGAGAGCTCAGGGCTGGTGTTTACTGGGCTAGCCTGCCGTCAGAGGTAACCTGAAGACAGGGCCGTGCGCTGGGGGGGTATCAGCGGTGAGTGAGCCCTGCCTTGCAGCTCTGGCCTGGGGCTCTCTCTCTCCTGCTCCCCTACACACTGCCCTCCCTGGCACAGTAAACCAATCTGCAGCAGGAACAGGATGACAAATGGAGAGAGCTACACACCACATATTATTCATAACAATCGCTACATAGGACCCTGCTCCTCTTAGCTCAGCTGAGTTAGAGAGGGAGGGGGACAGACTCCAAGCCCACAACTGGAGTGCAAAACAGAAAGAGAGAGTGATGGAGGGGGAGAGGGGGGGTTGAAATAAAAAGAAAAAGGAAGAGGGAGACAGATGTGTTGGGAAATGAGGACGGTCATGGCCTAATGTTCATTTACTGTATATCA